GGCTATTACACACACATCGGGTTAATGGAAATCTAAAACCTCAGACAGCAGCGATCCACCCGCCCTCGTTGTAAAAGCTTGTGTGACGGGAAATATTTCTGTGGGAACTGATATCATTGGATAAAACCCTCCGAAGCGTCACAGACAGATATAATCACAACCACAATTTTGGCTGTATAGGCTAAATAATGGAGGAGGAATAATTCTATTATATGCAGTCCAGCTCTGTTTCGCATCCCACTATAGCCTAGATAATGCAAGAGTTTGGTCAAATTAAAAGGAAAGTCAACCAGCATTCTTCAGAATATCTTCTTTTGTGTTCAACAGAAGAAAGAAATTCATAGAGGTTTGGAACAACGTGAGGGCGAGTAATGGAGACAAAATGGTCATTTTGGAGTGAACTGCCCCTTATTGCTTTATAATTTTGCATAAATAAACTCCCTACAGTTGTTTCGAAACATATATTCTCTAAAAAGTCAAGTCAGAGTACGTTTTCAGGGTTGGTAATAAGCGGGGAATATGTGAGGAGGAAGGTAGAACGACATTTTCTGAAACTGAGAAAACGTTATTGTTACAGTTTATTATAAATCAAATAGAATCATATTCTAGCTCTTTTTGAACTATATAAACGTAGCTACAAAGGAAGAAAAGAATCTGAAAGAAGTAATGATGTATAAATGATTAAAAAAAAATGCAATACATGAAAATTTTTTGAAAAAAGATATAATATAGTGGATACTGCATACCATACATTTAGGGTTAGTATTTTTTACACGTTTGAAAGAAGTCTCTTGTGTGCATCAAGGCTGTGTTCATTTGATTAAAAAATACAGTAAAAACACTAATATTTTTACAATTTAAAATAACTATATTTTTATGCGACTGCATGTTAAAATGCAATTTATTTCTGTGATGCGCAGCTGACTTTTCAGCATCATTCCTCTAGTCTTCAGTGTCACATGATCTTCAGAAATCAGTATAATATGCTGATCTGCTGCTCAAGAAACTCACTTTTTGTGGAACCTGCGATGCTTTTTTTTCTTTTCTTTGATGATTAGAAGGTTCAAAAGATGAGTAATTATTAGATATTTGGTTGTTGTTTTTAAACAGTAGGCTTTAATGCATCCTTGCTGAATAAATGCATTAAAAAATCTTACTGACCCTAAAACTTTTGAACATTATATTTATGCTGTGCATGATTTATGCATGATCTGGCATTGCCAGAACATTGATATGCCATTGCTTCATCCATTAAAAAATAAATAAATAAATAAATAGTGATGGTTACTTTAGCAAACACTATTAATGCTTGTTAATATTGTTTAACATTGCTTAAAAGTTGATCTTATCGATTATTATTGTGAATAATTATTGGAATGTGTTGGATGGCATTCGTCTGTGTGTTATTTAGCTCTGGCTCACTCAGGTTGGCATGGGATCTTCTCTGAGCAGAATGCTGAAGCGCTGCTTTCATTGCTTGCAGGTGATGCAGGATAAACACAGCTGTGTACGCACATCTTGCTCCAGGAAGACATGCTCTTATTCCAAATCAAATTTCCCTGTCCTCCATCTATTCATTCGTCCAGTGGAATCCAGAACGGAGCAGGAGTTTGGGTTTGGTGAGCAGCATCAACATCCACACTGATGATCCACAGCGGTCGTAGATCTGGCACAGCCCTGGACTAAATTACACCCATTTAATGTCAGCCCTACTTAATTAGGCCGTTAGGTGGGAAAATAGGGTCATAAATCTGCAATGATGAGACCACCCTTAGGGTTTTACATTCAGCATGAATATACAGCACTAAAGCTTTGCATAACAATCAGAAAGAAGACATCCGTAAGTATTTGGGGAATTATGATATTATGATATATTAACAATGATTTTAGTAGATCAATATTTATTTTATGTACTCTTATCTTTATGGCCCAGCACTACATGCATTTCTTTTTTTTTTTTTATGTTTTTAAATTTAAGACTAAGATTCAATATTGCTCGTCCAAAGCATCATTTACTCACCACGTGGTTCCAAAAATGTTGGTAACCAAACAGTTGCTGGTAGCCATTGACTTCCACAGTATTTTTTTTGCCATACTATGGAAGTATATTATTATAGGAATATATTACTTTAAAAGAATATACTTAAGCATGACGTACATGTTTGTGGCCATTTTATTTGTAATTAAACTAAAATGATTATATAGTTTAAATTTATATTAAACGTAATTAGTTGAACTTAAGAATGCTTTTTGACCCATTTTGTACTTTAGCACATTAAAATCAGTGTTTAAAGATAAGTGTTTAAAATAAGTGTGAACATCTTTAATGCATGACAAAATGATTCAAATATAATGATTTAAAATGTACGTTAAGGTAAGACTGTTAATTTGATACTTATACAAAGTGTACAATTTAAAAGTGCACTTAAGCGTGTTAGGAAACTGTCATGTAAGTGGCCTTTTATTTCATTAATATTTTCTTATCAGTTTTTAAAAACTTTTAGGAGTTAAAGTACATTACAAGTGCACTTCTTTTGATTTCAACAAATTGTTTTGATTTAATTTGAACACAAATGTCCACTCTATTAGAAATCGAATGACTAAAGTGATCACACATTCATCTGTAAATTATAGGATTAGTTTTATAGAGTTAGGTGATTGTGTGTGTGTGTGTGTGTGTGTGTGTGTGGAGAGGTAGATTCTTATCTATGACCACATTTACACAATAAAAAAAAAATAACAGTAGTGTAGGTCTAAACTTTAAAGGTATTACACATAACTGTATACTGTGACCTACAACAAACAAATACCCTCAAATGACCCCATTTTTAAAGATTTACTCAGTACACTTGTTTAAATAAACAAATAAATAAGTAATTTTAATAAGCATATTAGCATTGCACATGTACCTGATTCGTAAACCGTTGAGCTCTTCCAATGTGAAATGTGATGCTGTGTCGCCCTCTTTTGGAAAAACAGTTCAGTCATTAACATGAGCAAATTCACTGCTCAGAGACACCACTCAACTCTTGATGTGGGCATATACATGCTTCAGCAAACTCTCAGTTATTAGATAGCCATTTTCACATGCGTTTGGATATTTGATTTTTAGTTTAGTAGCAGCAGAAGTAGTAGTTGTAGTAGTAGCCTATTGCGATTTGTGAAAGCAAAACATAATCAGACGTTAAAATGGTGCTTATACAAAGTTTTCACAGTAAAATCCCACACTTTTGAGTGGTCTGGTTTTAAAAAGCAGCTTTTCGAGCTACGCTAATTTAAAGTTTGTCCTTTTCAGAAAGACTATACAACTAAGGGGGAGAAGAGCACACGATGGTTTTAGACTGAGAGGGACTGAATATCATGGCCTGTTGTGCTTCAGTGACCAGTGTTGCCAACTTAGCAATTTTGTTGCTAAATTTAGCAACTTTTCAGACTACCCTAGCAACTTTTTCTTCCAAAAGCACCGAGCAACAAATTTAATACATTTTTTATTTATTTGGCAGCTTTTAGCAACTTTTGATAAGTGACTCAAACGATAAAAAGGCACAATTTACCATTTAAATTACACAAAAAGAGGAAACCAAAGATGCCTAGCAGTACACACGTTACACGGATTAAGTTAGCTGCTATTTGCAATTGATTAATTTAATAGTAATAATAATAATAGTAGTAGTAGCCTATTGCGATTTGTGAAAGAAAAACATAATCAGACGTTAAAATGGTGCTTATACAAAGTTTTCACAGTAAAATCCCACACTTTTGAGTGGTCTGGTGTTAAAAAGCAGCTTTTCGAGCTACGCTAATTTAAAGTTTGTCCTTTTCAGAAAGACTATAAAACTAAGGGGGAGAAGAGCACACGATGGTTTTAGACTGAGAGGGACTGAATATCATGGCCTGTTGTGCTTCAGTGACCAGTGTTGCCAACTTAGCAATTTTGTTGCTAAATTTAGCAACTTTTCAGACTACCCTAGCAACTTTTTCTTCGTAGAGTGAAGCATACTAACTAACTACTAATACACTGCTTTAAAGTACAACACTTAAATTGTAATCGTTCAAAAATGTGTACGTTTTCGATAATTCAATGGATTTAAAAATAGTTATTTATATTTTAATATTATATTATGCATTTATATTGCTACGAACAAATCTAAATTAACATATATAAAATATATGTTTTTGCTGAGATTTGACACAATTTTGCATCGTGATTACGTAATGACGTCATCACGCAATGTCATCACAACATCATTTAGCAACTTTTAGCAACAAATCAACCTTCCTTTAGCAACTTCCCCTGAAAATTAGTTGGCAACACTGTCAGTGACACTCCGAGTAGCCAAAAACATGATTGAGCTGCTAATTTAGCTGTTATGGGCTCTTTCCCCCATGACACTAATGATAATTAACATGCAAATGAGCTCAGGGATGTGAGGTGGGGGCAGCAGAGCTCTGTTCATTAAGGCCTTAATTACTGTTTGAAAACTGAAACATCAGGATTATAAATGGAGGTTTTTCATGTAATGGCTCGGATAATAATTAGGGCTTGAACATGCTCTTATAACTGCTGTTTTGGACGTTACTTCCGGGCCTTATGGATGGACAGCAGCTCCAAATGTTGGCTTTCCTCACCAATTACACTTCTGTGTCTAACACGTTTAAAAACTAATAAAGCGTGTAAAAATGGTTCTTTATACTTGTCAAAGGAACTACATTACCTCTGCCCAACAGACACACTTTGAGTACCCCAAATATTCAGTCTAGACTTTTTTTTTTTTCCCCTCCAAAATGTGTTTAAATTGCCGAAGTCTCCAAAATAGTTTGATTAATTAAACAACAAATTGAAACTTTCAGCCTTGGCATATTAATGTCCAAGTTAAAGGACCTTTAATTAGTTTCCTTTAATTAAGTAGTGCATTAAAATGTAGTGTGCCTGTCAGAAAGTGAAGTCATTGTACCATTATCATAATACATGATCATGGATCTTAATTTCATAATATGCATCAACAGCCAATAGCAAATCCACTAGGGGTGAAAAAACAAAAAACTCAGTAAACTCAAATTACTCAATTATATTTATAGATTTTATATTATATCACTTATATATCCAGTACTGTGGGATCCTTGACTTCAACTATTAATGGGCATCACTGCCATTCATTAAAAACTGTTGGGTCGTTTTTTTTTTTTTTTAAAGGACAGTGAAGATATATTTGCCCCCCACAGAGTACTATTATTCCTGAACAAGACAACATATAAACGGACTGCAACTAAACAGCAAATGCACAATCAAACATGATCTCTCCAGTCATATGATGATGTGATATCACAGACTCTCACCTGAGCAGCTTGGCTTTACTCTGCAGGCCGTCCAACTGGTCGATCTTGCTGTTCAAGTCCCGAATTTCGTCCTCCAGCTGCTGTCTGGTCACGTCCACCTGTTGACAGAGCTGAGAGAAGGTGCCAGCCAGCTCCCTGGGACAAACAAACAGTGATTTAGAAGGAAGCAGGGCTGGATTCAACAATGTTTGAAAAACACAACTACAGAAATCAAATCTCTCATAACATACACTTCATATATTTCATTTCTCCACTAGAGGGCAGTAGTGGTGTTCAGGTCACAGTGCTCATATAAAGTCTGAATGACAACAACATTTGCATTAAAGTCCAGATTAACTCTAGTTCTATCAAACGACCTACACTCTGGATTATACTGGATTAAGAGGCTTCGTATGATGTGAAACTAGTTTACATGAAGTGATTTGTTTGTTTGATGGATATACACTACCATTCAAAAGTTTGGGGCCGTTTTTGTTTTTTCAAAAGAAATTACTACTTTTATCCAAAAAACACATTAAACTGACCAAAAGTAACAGTAAAGACTTATACGATGCTACAAAAGTGTTCTATCTCAAATAAATGCTGTTCTTTTGAACTTCTGTTCATCCAAGAATCCAGTAGCACTTTACAGTGTTTAAGGTTTCATTTGTTAACATTAGTTAACTACATTATTTAACATGAACTAATGATTCAAATATTTGTAAAGCATTTATTAATCTCAGTTCATAATAATTGCAACATTTACTAAAACATTATCCCAAGTTGTATCTGTTAATATTAATTAATGGACCTGAGCTAACATGAACTAACAGTGAACGGTTGTACTTTGTAAAGTTGTAAGGATTATTAAATATGATAACGATGTATTACTCAATGTTAGTTCACATTAATGCATTAATTAACGTAAACTAAGGAAGCTTATTGTGAAGTGTTGCCGAGAATCATGTAAAAATGTATCACAAAAAAATGTATCACAATGGGTTTCCACAAAAATATGAAGTCAATTGAAGAGGCTTGCTGCAAGTACCGCCCCCCACCGTCGTTTTGATTTTTTCATAGTAATAAAAATCATTTAACTGAGTTAGAGAACAGACACTACAGTTAAAACTGAACGCAAGAAGAGTGAGTCGAGCTGACTGACAAGAAGAGCGAGGTGAGACAGTGAAGAGTTTGGCGGAAGAGTTTCAAAACAAAAAGCAAAATCGCCCGTTTTAAAAATATTTTGGATTTTGAAAAGCCTGTTGACGTCTGCCGTTTATCTAAGGTGATTTTGACAGGTGTTTTTAAACATTAGTTTCTTATTTGTTTTGTTCCACAGTGTTTGCTGATTTTTATTTTATTTAAACTTTGTGTAATGTATATATTTTATTTTACATCAAGGTGTAGGCTATGCCGTGCCTCCAAGCTTTCTTATATGTTTTGCTAATAAACGTTCTCTGTTTTATTTGGTTCCACAGTGTTTAGGCTACTGATTTTCAGTTTTGTATAGGCTACCTATTTAAACTATGTGCAAGTTATTTGTTATTTTATATTCGGTATATAGCATGGTGTATTTTTATTCGTTTGTTAATAAAAGCCCTATGATTAATATATAGGCTAAGTGTGTTTGATGTTGTTGCTTGAATTGAATTCAAGCAGTTGACGGCGAATTGCCGCTAATTTGAAAGTGAAAGTAAAATGCGCACGGCGCTATTTAAAAGTGAAGGAAAGGAAAAGATACACGGTGATACCGTGATTATCGGTGTTGTCACAAGTCGGTTAATCGGTGGGAAAATTTCCTCACCGTCACAACCCTACAATTGAGCAGTAAATCAGCATATTATAATGATTTCTGAAGGATCATGTGACACTGAAGACTGGAGTAATGATGCTGAAAATTCAGCTGCGCATCACAGCAATAAATTACATGTTTACATATATTAAAATAGAAAAGTAAAACTTTTTTAAAAAATTTATAAAAATAAAAAAAATTCTTCGATCCCAATCTTTTAAACGATAATTTAAGATGAAAGCATAATAAAATGGGAATATTCAGCTTTAGTGTTGTTCTGAAAACCGTTTGACGGCACCAAACAAAGAGAAAGACCTTGATCTGACAACTTGAGATACTCAACGTATAAAACAGACTGGATCATGTAGGATTCGGCCTGACTTTGCTACAGTTCAAGCACAGGCAGAGAGAGACTCAGACTTACTGCTGAACCTGATGGCTGCAGTTGGATCCCGTGTAGCTGACTATGAGCTGTAGCTTCTCGCTGGCATAGTCCACAAACTGTCTTTTAAAAGCCCTCTCTTTGGCCCTTGTGGTCCAGGTGAGTCTCTCATACACATACAGCAGCCCATAGAGACCCACAGACAGAGCGATGAGCCTCCAGCCCACTGCCTTCCAGATCTGAGACACAAACACAATCACACCGCTTACATCCGGTTGATATTCTCACAGTTATGAAGACTGAAGTCATTAGACCAGGAGATGACATGATGGTGAGTAAATGAAGACAGGTGTAGAAAACATGCATATTGGTGCATTAATAGAGATACAGTATATATGTTCTTACCACTCCGCCAACGACTATAATGCCCATTGATGTCCGAGAGGTTAGTGATGCCAATCCTGTTACCATGGAAACCATAAGCTCTTCCTGGGTCATGGATCCTTGAGGAAAAGGAGGCATGCTGGTGCTGACCGGAGTGATGGCCAGAGGCCTGGGAACCTGACAACACAAAACACACACTTGATCAGTTAGGACCCAACACAGGACGCAGGGCCCTATCATCTCCACAATGTGGAAAACGCGGACGAAATCATGGAATTCAGTCATAAAAATTACATTTACAGTATAAAGTGGAGCGTCACAGAATCTGGCAAATTCTGCAAGCAGGGCTGTACACTTATTCAAATGGAGACATGGACTAGTGTCTGTGTGAGTAAGTGTCACAGTGTCAGCTACTACACACGTGATCACTATAGTCTCACTATATGAGGACATTCTTGAACTTCAAGTGTGACAGAAATATATGTGAGTGGGGAAAATCGTTTTACGTAACTCTTGCGTGTTTTTTTCATGATGTAGATTGTTTTTTAATTCTAGAATCAATACTAATTCATATTTGTTTATTGATTATATTTTAAGGATTATGAGGTTTTTTTTTTCTTCCATGTTTTAATGGCTCATGTATAGCACTATGTTCGGCAAAAAATAAAATGAATTTCGATTAACAATTTAATTGTTAATGTTTTATGCTTAATGTTTTGTATTAAATGCAGAAAAAATAAAACGGAAAACAATTTCTGAAAAAAATTAAATCTCATAGTGCCATATTATTGGAAAAATCGTAATACATTATTAGATGTTTAAAAATGTATTACTTCAATTAATTAGCCATGCCTTTTCATTAATAAAATTTAACAGACAGGGCTCCAGGCTAACATTTGAGAGCAGTGGCACCAGTGCCACTAAGTTCTACGGATGGTGGCGCCAGAAGCAGATTTGGTAGCGCTGGGAGTGGTGTGCGGGAGTATTAAAATATAGATCATTTAATCATACAATTACTATTGTTTTGCATTAATAAGTACAGTTACTAATAATATTACATGTTCATTTCTTGTTTATTTTTATTTTATTTATTGTTTATACAGATTTGACAGTAAAGCACTAAGCTTGAGTTAAGATGCATACAAAATGTACTTTTATTAACGACAGTAACAGGTGCAAAATCTAATTTTTATATAGAAAATGTATATATTCCACTCTTATTAAATGTACCATTATTCTTCTAGTATATGGAACTGACCAACTTCAGTGATTATGGGTGATTTAGTAGCAAATTGAAGAAAAGTTTGTTTTTCAAGGCACTTTGTGACTTTTCTTACTTCATACACAAAAAAGTGTAAAATTCTGACAAAATCTGATTTCTTGATGATTTTATATTTTATAATTTCAAAATATAGAGAAAAAGTATAAATGAATGACTAATAAGCCAATAAGTGCTCCTCTGCTGCCATCTACTGGTTATAATTGTGATTTTTTTTTTACATTTTACATAAGTGTTTGTTTACCACAAAGTATATTTTGGTCATCCTATTAAAAATAACATTCAAACTGCATCATTTTAGAGCTTTAAAGTGCTGGAAATTGTTGTGTTGAAACAGCTGAAACGTAGCGCGGTTTAGTTTCGCTTTCGTTTCGTTTGCCGTCTGATGTTTCTCAAATGCAACAGAAATGGCAGCGCTTATGAGTTGAACAACGCGGTGGTCGAACCAGTGCAACCACTCAAAAACATTAGTCGCACCGGCAGGAAAAAATTGTCACAAAATGTGACCATTTGGTCGCAGTCTGGAGCCCTGAGACCATTAAAACAGAATCCAGAAAAATTAAAACAGAAAAGGAAAATAAAACCAAATTCAAGATCAAAGAAATCTTTATTTTAGTAGCCCCTAAAAATACTGTAATAAATTGTTGTTATTATTAAAATATTATATTTAAATAATAAATAATACGTTTAAAACTGTTATTACATTTTAATTAAAATCTTTAATAAATAGTTGTCAAATTGTTTATTTACATAATTTCAATTCATTAGACATGCTTTTTTTGTTTACTAAAATTAAATTTAACCATTAAAACGGAATCCAGAAAAATGTAAAACTGAGAAAAACTAAATCAGATTTCACAGAGCCCTAAAGTTGCTTTAGATCAGGGGTGTCCCATCCTGCTTCTGGAGGGCCACTGTCCTGCAGAGTTTAGCTCCAAACCCAATCACACTCACCTGAAACAAGGTAATCAAGGTCTTCAGAATCTTTTAAGTTAGAGCTAAACTCTGCAGGACCTTGGCCTTGTAAATAAAAGTCCTCAACTGACATGCGCTACCTGGTCATTGTAGCCCATGAGAGCGCGGCGTGTGTTTTTGGGACCCAGGAAGCGGTTGACCAGCATGGTCCAGCCCAGGGAGAAGTGGAAGCCGATGTCTTCCTGGAAGTCGCTGCAGAGTTTGTCACAGTTGAGGTCGTAGCTGAGGGCAAAGCACTGTCTGGGCACCATCTTATCCACCTGCTCTCGGATCCCGATGGGCAGCAGGGGCTTCAGGCCCTCTGGAACGATCAGAAGTGTCTCTTTAAGCTGCTGCTCTTACTGGTGTGAGCTGTATGAAAACTCACCGTATGAGAGAGATACTGACCTATCATTTCAGTCTGTGTGGTTTGCAGCGCTGCAGTTATCGCACTGGAGCACCTCTCAGACATATTCCTGCCGAGACCATCCTCTATATGCTTGTGCAGCTCCTGAAATCAATCATTCAATCCTCATTATAACATGACACAAAAGATATTTCTTTTTTCATCTATTACCGCTTCCAAAGATTACACATTAACCTATGATTAAATGCTGTTAAATGAATTTAATGCATTTAAATATATATACATATACACGTACACACTACCAGTCAAACGTTTTTGAACAGTAAGATTCAGTCAGATTTTTAATGTTTTTAAAGAATTCTCTTCTGTTCACCAAGCCTGCATTTATTTGATCCAAAATACAGCAAATGCAGTAATATTGTGAAATATTTTTACTATTTAAAATAACTGCTTTCTATTTGAATATATTTTAAAATGTCATTTATTGCTGTGATCAAAGCTACATTTTCAGCATCATTAGTTCAGTCTTCAGTGTCACATGATCCTTCAGAAATCATTCTAATATGCTGATTTGTTGCTCAAGAAACATTTATTGTTATATATATATATATATATAAACTAAAAGATATTTGGTTTATTCTTGATACAGCCCTGTGTAAAACTGAAAGTTAACCAGATAAAGGACAAGGGCATAGATGATGTTAGTGGGCAGCTGGAGACTTTCCTTGTGGAGAGTTGCATGTTGCCACTAAACATTAAACAACAGTTGATGAAAGATCATAAAGAGGAGAAGACATGGGCGGGTGATTGGAGGAAGACCAATTCAAGTCCAACTCACGTTCTTGTACACTTTGAGCACCACTTGTGAAGGATGAAAGTCCAAGTGGAAGTCGTCCACGAGCACAGCCAGTCTCCGAATCTCCTCTGCCATAGAGTTAGACACCTATACATACAGACGAATAGGATGAAACATGGAAACACACTCATAAGACAGAGTTTTAGAGTGTTTGGAACTTAAATTGAAAATTAAAGTCACTAAAGACTTAAAATCCCTACTTGTTTCAATAATCAGGTTTTCTAGAATACCCATTACCATGAAGTAATGCCTTAAAAGTGTGACATTATTCATTTACGTTCACATTTAAAACTTAAAAGAGCTAAAACAAAAGATAAAAGACCTAACAAAAAATATTTTAAAAAGACCAAGAGAGAAAAATGGTATCTTTATCCAGTAGTCTTAAAAACTGTATTAGCATTTCTACCAATTTCAAAAGGAAACTACCATCTTTAAACTTGTAAAAGAAAAACACATCCATAAACAACTAGAGAAAGGACATCTCTTTAATATACAACATTAGACTCAGCGGCTTCATATGATGTCCCCAAAAAGAAAGTGTGACATTATGAATGTTTACATAACCTGTTCAATTTCAGTCAAACTAAAATAACAATTCTTCTTTCAAAATGTCATGTATGTGCTTTAGTCCAGCTAAAATGGCACCAACCTGATTTTTGCGAAACTGGACTAAAGGCCAAAGTATTTTTACGTATATTATACTGAAAAAGACAAGTGAGCCTCACCTGTTTCTCCACCTCCTCTGTGATCTTCTTGATTTTGCTCTTGCAGTCCAGAGTGAGCAGATCCAGCTGTTTATCAATGAACTCCAGCCTGTCCTCCCTCTCCTCTTTCATCTCTAAACAATGAATCCTGAACAACACAAAAATCATCAATCGAAATATTCACTTCAGTTTATGCACAGTCGGCTATCCTTCAAATATAAAAATCCAGATTATTTTTAATAAAGCTGATCTAAGACTTTTGGCTTAATATGATTCCTAATCACTGTGTCCTAACCATGTGTGATGCAAGAAGAAGCTGAACACGTTTTTGAAGATCGCTTGGTTTTGTGCAGCCATGTTGGGCATCCTTATACATACTGAAAACACAATGGATTCAAATATTTGGACTAATGGACTAAAATATTCTGCAGTTTACAAATATGGCTGAGGAATGTGACACTGAAGACTGGAGTAATGGCTGCTGAAAATTCAGCTTTGCCACAGTTTTTTTTTTTTTTTCATATATATAAAAAAATAAAACAATTAATTCAAATTGTAACACTACTACTAATTATTATTAATAATGTAATACAGTAATTACTGTTTAACTGTATTTGGATCAAACAAATGCATCCTTGGTGATAAATAAATAATTCCAACTTTTGAACAGCAGTGCTTTTAATACAAAATATTTGACTTATTTGTATGCACAAATATATTTACAGTATATAGTCATAAAAATCTATATGATTATATACACATAGAATTTCCTTTGATTTAAATAATTCACCCAGTTGATTTGAAACAATATATCTCAAATGAAAAATGAACTGAACTTAACTCAAACATTGTTTTTGCAACTAAATTTTAAATTAGAGTTGCTATCGAAATATATTTGTCTTAACAATCTGATAGTTGTGGACTGCGAGACAAGAAAGGATCACAAAACCAGTCTAACAGGATGTTTTTAAGCTCCAGAAAACCATGCACAATTACACTGTTAATTTTATATCGCTAGCAAATACATCGAAGATATTATCCCTAATTCCAACATTTGACTCTACTATTTCTTTCTCCTCCTCAGACTGTAACAGCACAGTCAGGTGGATCACCAGTGGATCAGTGTTCAGTGTGATGGATTACCGCTAAGAAAAGCAGGTGTCTTTGTGCTCACCTCTGCTCTTGAGCTGCAATGTGCACAGAGTCCATTATCAGACGCAGAGCTTCAGAAATCTGCTTGGCCCTCATCGTGTGCTGCTCGAACTTAGTCTTCACTGCTGACTGCGAGATGCACTCCTATAAGAACACACGTATATGAGAGTCAGACACACACACAGACGCATTTAAACTATGCTGGGCAACGATTACATTTGTTTTTTTATCGCGATTAATCGCATTATTTTTTCTGCAATTAATCGCGATTAATCGCATTGTTGTGTGCTAAATAACAATTCAATAATGAATTCAAAAGTACTGTATTGCACACTTTTATTTTAAAAGTACTGCTGTATGAACAAAAGTGCAATAACATTTGGTTTGCAAACACTTTAAACAAATACGGTGCTTTTTACAGCAGTATTCCCTTTACATAGTAGTAGTTAAAATATTTCTTGAAAATCTCAACTTAAACATTAATGTAATCAAATAAAAATCTCCTTTTCATATAACTCGTGTATTCTTGTGATGGTGCACCTTGACACCATGTCTACACCGGACGCGAGTGGCGCGGCGCAACAAAATACTATAGAGCCCATTATAATCAGTGATGCTGTCTACACTGGATGCGGCGTGTGGATTACACTACAAATCATACGTGCCGTCATTCATTGTGATCCTATACAACGGATGCGACCGCAACAGCTAAAGTCTGTCTACAAGTCCGTCATAGATAGAACGAGGCAGCAGTTTGTCGCAACTGTCGATCAACATCCCACCCCTCCTGTGACCCATGGTTTGTCTGTATCTGTATTCAGAACCAGTGAGCAACGGACTTTCAAAATAATAATAATAAAAACTGCATTAATGCGCGATAAAATAATTGTCGGCGTTAATTAATGCGTTAACGCATTAACTTGCCCAGCCCTAATTTAAACCAATGACAGTCTCAAACCCCACAACACTCACCTCAAACCGTCTTTCAAAATTCTGAAACTCAAACATTCTCGCTTGAAAACCTTCAGCCAGAGCACCACCTGAAATCCAAAAACAACCTCTTTACAGGGGTCATGTCAGGGAAAAGAGGAAAAATAAGAGTTTGATGTTTAACATAAACTACATTTCACAATGTTCGCATAACCATATGAAAGAATATTTGACTTAAGATGATGCTGTAATGCAGGGTTTCCCAAATGGTTTTGTGAGGGAACTGCAGAGCATTTGTGAGTAAATTAAAAACTGATTAATTAAATATATTGTAATATTAAAATCAGTAAACAAAATTAATTAAAAAAAAAACTGAAATTGCGATATAACTTACATATAAGTACAATTATCAAATCAAATGCTACCATTTAATTAAGCCCACAGCCTGTTGCACTTAGGGATATGCCGGTATCAAATTTTCATGTTGCGATTAATTGCTAATGCTTTTATCACAGTATACGGTTATTTTCACGATATTGAAATTTAGTTGCAAAAAAGTGTTGTCATAATACAGTATAACAGGTTTAATAACTTTTTTCTAAAAATAACTGAACATTTAAATATAATAAAACAATACACAAAAATGTATAAAGTGCATTTTAACTGTATAAAGTTAAACATTTTACACAGTGCCATCTGCTGTCAGAGAGTGAACGTGCTTTCATTCTGAGCTTCTCTCACGCGCTCCACCATGCGCTTCTCCATGCGCTTCTCACCCGTGCTTGTTTACATCAGAGTGCACACGTGTCTTTAACGCAGCATACAGCAGTTTTGTGCATTGTAACCAGTTGATGGGAAAAGTATTCTTAAAATGCATTCAAAATTCTGAATCATTTGTAATAAATAATTATTCTCAGTATTTTGAAGTGCCCACGATAACATGCATATTCATTATCGTGATATATCTCATTACCGAATACCGGCACATGCACTGCGTGTTTCAGAGTGAAGTGCAGCACTGTGCTCATGTGAGCATCTGTGTTTTCAGCATCTCAGAGTGGCTTTGTTTACAGTAAACGCAGTGAACTTCATCTTTGCATGTACTGAATTGAACATGCATTTGGGAATGCAATGTACACTAGAATCACTTTATTTCCACATTCACATAATTTCAACATTTTTGTGGACAAAAGTTTACAGCATTCCTCCAATATTCCACCACAATGAAAGCTTGAATTTGAAACGTGAATAGCATTTGAAAAGGTTTTGAAAAGTACTTATTACCACATATTCATTTTTTAGTTTACAATACAATTGTAATTTACAACATTGTTTTTATATATATATATATATATATATATATATATAATTAAACTTAAAACTAAAAATAGTCATATTATTATATTGTTAATATTAGAATAATAACAATAACTATTATTATTATTATTATTATAAAAAATTAATTGGGTTCCTAAAAACATCAGTGTGAATGTAATGTGGACTGGCACACAACAACTACAAAGAGGTCTGGGTCCACTTAAAAGTCCAGTTACAAAGTGAAATGTTTATTATTATATGACAAAATAATTGCAATACTGTAACATTTTATTGGCCTGGCAAATGATCATTTTAAAATAAAAATACATTTTATCTGTTTACTTGCATGTCACCATAATCAGAAACCCATGAACATGAGTATGTGTTGTTAACATATAGAAATATTAAGTTACATACTTAAGTAAATATTTTACGTCTAAGGGGTTCAGCTGACAAGAAAAAGTTTGTGAACCCCTGATGTAAATGTATCTACCTGCTTCAGGCATTCCCTGGGCTTTCTGGACACGTGCCTGAAGAGCTTCTTTAGCAGAGACGAAGAAGATCCGGTCGCTGGCCTGAGCGCGATCCACCACCCGCAGCTCATCCACTAAAAAACTAGTGCAGCGGTCCATGTGCTGCCGTCTCACCTGACAAACACACGTTACATTATAACAGTGCAACAACACCATGCACCTTGGTTTCAAAAAGGTCACTAAAAGATCCAATTTGGTCACACTTTAATTAAGGAACCAATACTCACCATTAATTAACTACTTTTGCCTCAAACTCCTAATTGCTGCTTATATTTAGTAAGGTAGTTGTTAAGTTCAGGTATGAGGCAGGAGAAAGGGATCTAAACTATGCTCATGCAGAATAAGGCATTAGTATGTGATTTATAAGTAATAATAAATGGCCAATATGCTAGTAATATGCATGCTAATAAAGAAAAAAAAAACTAGTTAATAGTGAGAATTGGTCCCTTTACTAAAGTGATACTCCAATTTGTTTACTTGACTTTATTTGTAAATCAGACAAAAACAATTCTTAAAGTTTCACCTCATCCCGAATTTTGTGTAAAATAAAGAAACTTGCTTACAGCATTCGGTTTAACTACCAGGGATGTTAATGATTTAAAATGCATCTCAGGGTGGTGAGACTCATAGTATGTGTGTGTGTTGTTTGTTGTGTCGTGTATGTCACACCTCTTCCATGTACTCGGGCTCGTTGGCGGAGGCATCCCAGCGGTTGTTCAGGATGAAGATATTGGGGCTGGAGAGGCGCTCGTTCACTTTGTGAAAGAATGACTTTTCCTTTAAGAGGGCAGAGGGGAGACGTGTTTTAATAAGCTGACACAAGTGAGGTCACATGACAACTGTGCACTCTAAAATGAGTAAAACCTCAAAAATAAAAGATAATCAAAATTCTTTAACTTTAAAGAAATTAGTGCAAATACTACTGCAATTTATCTGTCCATAATGCTGTAATATATACACCAAAAACTGCATAAAGCTTCTGTTCCCACAGTCCATCAGCCCTTTTTCACAAACTGAAGTTCATATTAAACTCACTGTTTGCATTAAAGTGGACTCTGAATTCGCCACCAGCACAAAAACGTCAGCATCAAGGCAGAAGTTGTCGATCCAGCTGTCCAACTCTGTTGTGACATCGATGCCAGGGCTTAAAAAGGAAGATTTTATAAGTTTCCAAAAACTAAATATTCCTAATATGACTTCTTATGCAGTAAATTGGTCATTTAATGCAGTAAGTTTATAATGCCATTGCACTGGTATCCTTACATGTCATCTTAATATTAAAAACAGCATCTAGCAAGCAAAAAAAAAAAAACAATACAAATAAACAAAAAATGCATGCAAACAAATTAATGTGCGCAGAATTTATAGATCTGTAAATCAAAACAGACAGTGTGTTGAATGCAGTGTTAAAGGAGAGTGAATATTTCCTAATAGTGCAGTCAACATGTCTCCGGCCTCACAGCACGAGTGTGTGTTTACCTGTCCACAAGCACCAGGTCATCACGCAGCAGTGCACACTTTGCTTTAGGCCACATGACACACACCAGACTGCCTGCGTCCAGATCCTCATCCTGATGTAAGGCATGGGCCAACTGGTTCACCGTCTGCCAATACGCACACAAACATTAGCATTACCAAGTACTTTTAACTGGACTATTTTAAAAGTAGATTACCTGAAATCAAAGGAGTCTTATAGAAAACATGATTTTTCTTTTTATAATTAGAGTTAGAAATAATAACAGTAATAATATTAATAACTATTGTTATTATTACTAGTGTGAATGTAATGTGAATCTGTGTCACAACTACAAAGTCATATTGTAGTTCAAATTGCAATACAAGACAAATAATTCACAACACTGTATCATTTTTGGCTGTCGTGCAGCCCTATATATAAATAACTGTAAAATTAAAAAATAATAAAAATAGCTTTATTTTGATTGTTTTCATTGCAAAAATACTAAAAAAAACTACAAAAAAAAATGTTTTGTTTACTTGCATGCAATGTGACCATTAACTGCCATCAGAGAACCGTGATCATGTGAAAGTGTAGTTAAATTATTGAAATATTAACTTAAAATTTCAGGGGGCACTTCAAATAAATATTTTGTCGAAGGGCTTCGGCTGACAAAAAAAAGTTTGGGAACCCCTGACGAAACGTATCTAACCTGCTTCATGAAATTAAAACTGTTAAAACAAATTATTATTGATGTACGCAGCAGTAGACTAACTCAGTTTACATGGAAAGAGATTAGGAGATAAAAACAGAGTTCATGTACAAACCACCTCTAGTTTTAAAGGTACTATTCTAGCCTATCAATGCTTGTATTTGAGTTGTTACAAATCTTACAAATTTGCAAACCTGTAGGTGTGAGATTTTCCATCTAAAAAAAGTGAACTGCTGGAAACCTAAATATCCACGATTGCAAGCACACACCAGAGAGTAAAGGATCAGTAATAAACCCACGAGACTTGGCGGAGGAAACCGTATGACCTTTGGCCCACTCTTAGGAATGGAGTGCATTTGTTTATTACAAGCGTCTATCAGCCAGCTGCTCTGTTCACACCGTCTGTAGGCTATATTTAGCTGCTGACCATTGTTCTTGTGTGTATGCAAGTCATCAGAAGCCAGATAGAACTGCAGACAAATCCCAGACGTCAGTCACAACAGGACACCTGGCATTCTCAGGATGCTTACCAAATATTGAATAAATACAAAAACAGTGATCAACAATCACTGAGACAGAATGTTTCTCATGGTGAGATCTAGAGCTGAAAAGAACAGCCAACATTTCTGATGAATAATAATAAAAAAAATCATCTATATGTCAAGCTTTTTTTGATTAATCTAAGTTCTAAATGTCTAGATGCAAGAATTAAAATAAATAAAACTGTTATTGTGTCTTTTTATGCACACCTCTAGAAAAACTGGTAAGCACATATGCTCATTCCCAGCATTCCTCTACAGCAGACAATGTGCTCTTAAGTGTGCATGTACATGTTTCCTCAGCCCTGTAATATATCAATGCAGAGGAAAGGTCACGAGACAAGTCCTAAATGACAAAAACGTGTGACCTTGTGACAGCTGGTAGGAAAAAGCCCCCGACTCATGTGGGTGTAATTATAGATGGGAGCACATGTACAGTCAGGCAAGATCCAGAGAGGTTCATTTAGCACAGGCAAATAGACAACATAACTTTTTGCCTTATTACTTATCACTGACATTATCTGCTCGTTATTTTCCAATTTGAACACACTGTAAGAACAAAATAGTATGCACAATATATCAATGACAGTATCAGTATTTGCTGATAGTGGGCCATCTACAGGTTTATGAATTATTTACATGGAACAATGTTTGAACAACATTTACTAATATTGCTTTAAAATATGTCATAATATTATTTTACATATTTGTTTTAATATTTAATTTGTAGAGTAACAATATTTTATTATATTATTTTTGCTTTATTTTTTTTTTTTACTAATATCATTAAAGGGTGTGACAGCACAGTAACTGAAAATTACCATTGAAACTGCATTCAGAATTGATGTGTATAGAAAAATCTAGTTTAAAGTGTAAACATTGTTTCTAATGCACATTCTTCACACACACACTGTTCTAATTTTCATTATTGAACTAACTGTTATATACATAGTGCAAGGAGCTCTGTTCCAAAACCTGTAAGCTAAACCCATACAGCGCTCTGAACAAGGGTTTTAACTTGCTTTTATGAATTGCTTTAGAGCAGTGGTTCCCAAACCTGTCCTGGAGGACCCCCTGCCCTGCACATTTTGTATGTCTCCCTAACCAGACAAACCCAATTTAGTTCTAGCAGTCTCTACTAACGAGCTAATGAGTGGAATCAGGTGTGTTAGATAAGGAAGACATACAAAAGGTGCAGGGCAGGGGGTCCTCCAGGACAGGTTTGGGGACCACTGCTTTAGAGAGTTTAACGTTAGCATGTTGTCAATTAGGGCTGGGTGATACAGCTAAAAATCTCAACATTGTTTACATATTTTAAACAAAAACTCTTGGTACTGAGTGGGTTCTCACAAACATCAATACCTCTGAAATTTGGAACCGAACAACAAGACATTTTTCGACACTTGATAGTATCGAGGCAATTTGGTCAGTGCCTAAAAAGTATCGAACTCGATACCCAGTCCTAGATGCTGCCTTAGAATTTATGACCAGCCTTCAAATCAGAAGTGTACATGTGATGCCTTGACACGCTGCCTTATAGAAAGCTCACAAGGTTTTGGAAAACAGCAGCCAACCTTACAACACACGGCCACAGTCTCCTCTCATGTCAGACTAAAGCGATTACACACCCTCTTTAGCACCTACGGTGTGCAAAGCTCATTTATGGTTGCTATAGAGAGATGCACCGAGTTACACAAGAGGCCGATTTCCATTCCCAATCCCACAGCATGGACCTTATCTGACTCAACATGTCAGACACACCCAAACACACAAAAGAAAGAGGCATCCAAGATCACTTAGGAATGCCTTTAAGACAATTAAGCAGGTAGAAAGCATTTACTTTAACACTCTTTCTTTCATCCGATCCCTCGGTGAGCAGGAAAGCTTCATTGCCATCGGTGCCTTCCACTCGTAGGAAGCAGTTGGTGGTGTGTCCGATTCCAGACGGAAGCACTTTGTCCCAGAGCATGGCGTTAATGACGGAGCTCTTCCCGTTACTTGTCCTGTTAACACAAATGGTGTGACTAAATCACAAATTATACTTCAAATTTATGGCAAGCGACTGAACGCCTAGCATTCACATAAACATTTAAGACAATCTTAGAGAAAAATGGTATCTGTGAGGATTTCCAGTCAGGATTTAGACCGTATCACAATACTAAGACTGCTCTCATTAGAGTTACAAATGACCTGCTCTTATCATCTGATCGTGGTTGTATCTCTCTATTAGTGCTATTGGATCTTAGTTTACTATTGTCATTTTGCATTATTGACACACTATTTTCCTAATTAATGCTGTTCAGTTGCTTTGACACAATCTGTATTGTTAAAAGCGCTATATAAATAAAGGTGACTTGACTTGACAATGAACATAAACTTTGCGTTGGTGCTGTGAAAGACAATACGTATGCACTGTACCTGCCAAAGAAGACCACCTTCATGTGTCTGCGGGACAGGACCTCCCCGATCCCTGCCACTTTGGACAGGTATCCTCGCACCTCCGCCACCTGCTCCTCTGTAGTGACAGGATCCAGTTCCTCATTGCTGTAGGTTTCTGTCAACAAAAGAGACCAGTTCAACTACACTTGATTTAAGTATTTCACCAACATTTGCAACATCATAATGCCTTGATATTCCAAATTAAAGGCCACTACCATGATTACATCAATCTTTGTGGTCATCAGGGCATTGCTACTCAGTTGCTAAGGTGTTTTGGGTGAATGCTCGGAGGTTGGTTAGTGGTCCAAATCAAAAGAGCCAACATTCAAGTTGAGAGTAAACTTCTTCTCAACTGCTATTTTATATTTATGTAACCTCTTAAAGTTAGAATAACCTCCAACTTGTCTAAAATTGCAACGCACCTCCCAATAATCGTTTTTGAAATGATTTCCTCCTTTCAAATCCTGTACATTTTATCACAAAATACAAACAATAAATGCCGTGCCCGTTTTGCATGACAGATCGCTGTAGCAGCTTCAGTTCAAGCAGCAACACTGGTCTCTTCCGCTTTAATACAAGTTATAGCACAAAATAAACACAAATGAACATCAGAAGGTATGCTGAAAGATACAGTACAACTGTATCACTTAATGCATTTATTTTATAGTTTACAACATTAGTTGGGGAAATTTTTCCTTTAAGAAAACTAAACTATCGGTTATCTGTATCGGCAGATATCATTCTGAATGACTGGTTATCGGTATCGGCTGAGAAATTTAGTATCAGTGCATCTATCTAAAGGATTTGTCAAAAACTGCAATTTGGAACATTCTTAATAACTTCTTAGAATTTATCTTAAGAAAGACGCTTTAGAGGATTTTTGTGATTCCAGCCCCTGGTCTCTCAATATGTCTCCAGTTCCTTTCTCAATGTAAATATTTAAATGTAAATATGGTATATTTTACAGTTTTATTGCCTGTGAAGTAATAACTCAATGTTAAATCACTAAGAAAATAATTATAAACCTCTCCTCAACAATTTGAGGCATCATTCAGCATTGAAGTACAAATGCTTAAATTAAATATCTCCGGGTTAGAGATAGAACTGGTTTTCAGTGTAAACTCAGTAAGCTTTGGCAATGTTTGCTAAAATGTGACTGACCTCAATTAAACCTAACATGAGACCAAAATCCTTTAAGTAAAATGTTATGAGCTTATGAGCTACCAGAGTAAATTTGTAAGACCTTGCCTAAAGAAAACCTGAGATGTTCATAGAAAAAAGCCTGACACACATGATACGCTGACTAAGCCATGCTTTTCCCTGAGCCTTCAGCCGTCTCCCCGTCTATTACGTAACCTGTCTTTGCTATCTGAGCTATGCTATTCACAATCAACCAGGTTTCTCTTATCAGCTTGACGGATGAACAGCATGCAGCAGTGTGCTTTGAGCTCCTAAGACAAGGAGTGGAACAAACGAATGACCAGGAGTAATGAAAGCAGACACCTTCTAGAAAGGCTGAACTCTCTTTGATGTAGGCACCCAGCTGTTCAAAGATGCCGTTGATCTTCTTCTTGGCGGTGACGAAGTGTTTGAGCGGGGAGGCGTTCACCTCAGCCATGAGTCGCTTGTCCTTCTTGCCGATCACACTGGTATTGGGTCGCGGGAAAACCAGAGACATCTCACTAGAAAATAAAGTAGTCAACAAAAAAAACTCACAACCACAAAGCAGTTTTGAGTAGTTACCAAGGTGTTGCTAGGTTGATCAGAGTGGTTTTAACACTTTGCAAAATGGCTACGATTGTGTTCTCATTCTTCATTAGTGTCTTCCCAGTCTTCATTAGTTTACTAAACTTTCTCACATACCATCGGCATTCAGCTAGTGTTTGAATATCTCTTCAGTTCAAATTATTTATAGTGATTTATTTTTTAATTTAGTAAATATGTAAAATAAGTATAAATTTAATTGCAGCACATTTTAAGCATATTATTTACTACAACAGTGCAATATCATATATATCAGCTTCATATCACCCTGCTCTCTAAGACATCAGGATGGCAATCAAAACCATTTATATTGCTCAACATTAAGTAAAAAAAAATGGATCATGTGCATTTCAAAATCTAAATGACAGCATTTAAGGACAACTAATCTCTAATCATGTGCTGCTGCATTCAGTTTCAACTTGCATCAAATCAACAATGACATTAAAGCCCCAAGTAAAGTAACACATTTCCTTGTTAGGAGCTGCAGGATTTAAAGTTCACAAATTCTAGCTGTTTAATCTTGTAAAGAGGTGAAACAAAGACATTCCAAGACATGTTCTGCAAATGAAATACACAATACAAACACTTGCAAAACCTCTGTCTTAAACACAAACACAACACACCCTAAGAACTGCTATGAAGAAAGAAAAGAAAAAACATTCAGCTACGTTGTTGTCTAACTGGATTGCTCTGAGGCTGAGCTATTGTTAAGTCCCATGTGTTGATGGGAAATGCTGTGTCACCCAAAAGAGCCGAGTGTCAACAACACATCAAAATGTGCTTACTACAGTTTCTAGAATAGTTTGTGTGTTAGCCAAAAGGGAATTGCCTTCCCTTACTGAACTTTGACATTATTGCAATTCATTTGATAGTTACGAACAATCAATTTAAACCATTTCCCTATCTGACCATTCATTAACACCCGCCTTGAATGGACAATCACACTTTAGTCTGTCAGTTCTGCTTGAGGACACTGAACTGACACCTTTAAGAATATATTATTAATAACCGATATGGATATTACACTGTTTAAAGATATTAAATAATACATGCATGACTATCTCTACAATAAAGCTTATAGGTATAAAGAAACAATTTGAAAACCAATTAAAAAAGATGTATTGAATAAGTGGATTAAAAAATTAACTTCTTGGTTCTGTTATCAATCCTATTAGGGTATTTTTCACAAATAAAGAAGTTGTTAAAACATGAGCTAAAAGGATGTAGCCACTAACCCACAGTGCACTCCGATAAATTTGTGTGCAATGGGAATCATCTGTTCTCAAATAAATATTTACTGCTAACTTTACATACAGTGCATAGTAAATATGATTTGAATATATTATGACATGGTTGGAAAATGGATATATGGCACCACAAACTTTAAAATCAGTGATTTAAAGTTTTGTGCACCTGTTCTCGGCATTGTCAAAATAAAAGTCTGGCTTCTGACTCTGACTACAGAAAACGTATCAATCAATGCCGATAATTCAAAAATGCTGAATATTTGTTTGATATACCTGCATTGGTTATATATCAGTCGGTCACTAATCTAATTCTCTCTTTATTCATGGATGCAGAAGGAGCTTAAACAGCCTCACAGTAAAACTTCATTCAGGATCATTTGGAATGTTTTAAACGATTCAAAATCCATGTGAGATTTCAGCAAATTTCAAACTATTTGTTTGCATATTTGAGATCAAGAAGAAGAAGAAGATCAAGAAAATGACACAGGACTAGAAATTGTGACAATATTACTGTAACGATTCAATAAAAAACAAGAAAACAAGTGTACAAGAAAACCTCACTTGATTCAGGCCTTCATGTATTCAAAAAATTCAATTCAATA